CACATGTATACCTTTAATATAGCCATGTGTATGTAGGCTATAGGTTTGCATTGCCACATGTATACCTTAAATATAGCCATGTGTATGTATGCTATAGGTTTTCATTGCTGTATGTATACCTTTAATGTAGCCATGTGTATGTAGGCTATGTGTTTGCATTGCCGTATGTATACCTTTAATGTAGCCTACATACACATGGCTATATTTTTAATATTGCCATGTGTATGTAGGCTATAAGTTTGCATTGCCACATGTATGCCTTAAATATAGCCATGTGTACGTAGGCTATATGTTTGCCTTGCCACATGTATACCTTTACTATAGCCATGTGTATGTAAGATATAGGTTTGAATTGCCACAGTATACCTTTAATATTGCAATGTGTATGTAGGCTATATGGTTGCATTGCCGTATGTATGCCTTTAATATAGCCATGTGTATGTAGGCTATAGGGTTGCATTGCCACATGTATACCTTAAATATAGCCATGTGTATGTAAGCTATAGGTTTGAATTGCCACATGTATACCTTTAATATTGCCATGTGTATGTAGGCTATATGTTTGCATTGCCACATGTATACCTTTAATATAGCCATGTGTATGTAGGCTATATGTTTGCATTGCCGTATGTATACCTTTAATATAGCCATGTTTGTGCAAAGTCCTTCATTACTTTGTTTTTATGTTTCAGTCCTCTGAGGCAGAGGGAAAGAAAAAGAAGCGTACACAACTCTATGGAGAAGAAAAGGAAGGAAAAAATCCGATATTTTATAAACAAAATCGGAGAACTTTTGCCACCTGTTGATAATGCGGAGAAAGAAAAAATCGGAAGGGTAGGCAGTACTCTAGAAAGCTAGTTCTATATCTGTTTAATCGGAAGGGTAGGCAGTTCTCTAGATAGCTGGCTCTATATCTGTTAAATCAGAAGGGTAGGCAGTACTCTAGAAAGTTAGTTCTATATCTGTTTAATCGGCAGGGTAGGCAGTTCTCTAGATAGCTGGCTCGATATCTGTTAAATCAGAAGGGTAGGCAGGACTCTAGAAAGCTGGCTCTATATCTGTTAAATCACAAGGGGAGGCAGTACTCTAAGTAGCTGGCTCTATATCTCTTTAATCAGAAGGGTAGGCAGTACTCTAGATAGCTGGCTCTATATCTGTTAAATCACAAGGGTAGGCAGTACTCTAAGTAGCTGGCTCTATATCTGTTTAATCAGAAGGGTAGGCAGTACTCTAGCTGGCTCTATATCTGTTAAATCAGAAGGGTAGGCAGTACTCTAGATAGCTGGCTCTATATCTGTTAAATCAGAAGGGTAGGCAGTACTCTAGAAAGCTGGCTCTATATCTGTTAAATCAGAAGGGTAGGCAGTACTCTAGAAAGCTGGCTCTATATCTGTTAAATCAGAAGGGTAGGCAGTACTCTAGAAAGCTGGCTCTATATCTGTTAAATCAGAAGGGTAGGCAGTACTCTAGAAAGCTGGCTCTATAACTGTTAATCAGAAGGGTAGGCAGTACTCTAGAAAGCTGGCTCTATATATCTGTTAAATCAGAAGGGTAGGCAGTACTCTAGAAAGCTGGCTCTATATCTGTTAAATCAGAAGGGTAGGCAGTCCTCTAGAAAGCTGGCTCTATATCTGTTAAATCAGAAGGGCAGGCAGTACTCTAGAAAGCTGGCTCTATATCTGTTAAATCAGGAGGGTAGGCAGTACTCTAGAAAGCTGGCTCTATATCTGTTAAATCAAAAGGGTAGGCAGTACTCTAGAAAGCAGGTTCTATATCTGTTAAATCAGAAGGATAGGCAGTACTCTAGCTGGCTCTATATCTGTTAAATCAGAAGGATAGGCAGTACTCTAGAAAGCAGGCTCTATATCTGTTAAATCAGAAGGAAAGGCAGTACTCTAGCTGGCTCTATATCTGTAAAAACAGGAGGATAGGCAGTACTCTAGCTGGCTCTATATCTGTTAAATCAGAAGGGTAGGCATTACTCTAGAAAGCCGGCTCTATATCTGTTAAATCACAAGGGTAGGCAGTACTCTAGAAAGCCGGCTCTATATCTGTTAAATCAGAAGGGTAGGCAGTACTCTAGCTGGCTCTATATCTGTAAAACCAGGAGGATCGGCAGTACTCTAGCTGGCTCTATATCTGTTAAATCAGAAGGGTATGCAGTACTCTAGATAGCTGGCTCTATATCTGTTAAATCAGAAGGATATGTAGTACTCTAGAAAGCAGGCTCTATATCTGTTAAATCAGAAGGGTAGGCAGTATACTAGCTGGCTCTATATCTGTTAAATTTTGACCACCCCTCCCAACTAAATTTTGTAATCTGAGAACATGTTTAGAATAGAATTTTGTTGTGATATCAATTTAAGAAATATGCACCATAGATCAACGTAACTTAAAATCTTATACATGTATATGCCATGTAATTGTCATATTTCCTGCAGTAAACTAAAAACAAATATTTTGGATTAGTTTAATTCATTTTAATTACTGATAATACAGTAGTTTCAAACATCAACAATGTATCAATTATTAATATGTATGTGTAGATATACTGTCATTCTTGTTGAAAGCGCAACTGTAACAATTAACACACAATCATACAGTCAGCTGTTCATGTCATTAAGATGAATGAGAAAATATAAGAAATGCGATGGAATGAGACAATTTAGCCGAGACTTATATATATCAATTTTCACCTTTGATCATATATGTCTTTAGCCGAGGAAAGGTTAGTAGTGAGGTAGGGATAATTTTACCTCAGTCTCTGTTTAGTGTTGTAGTATATCTTAAATGCCTCCATTCAAAATGATAGTAATTTAGCTATAATAGTGTTGTGCTTAGGGGAATGTTTTAGGAAACTCCCACAAAAGTATAGTTTTAAAGATGTTTTCTCATACAAGGATTTAAAAGGGGGAAAATCTTATATTGTATACAAAACTACTTTTGGTGTAAGTCAACATGTTACATTCACTCCATCCTCCATACTTATCATCCCAACCAACTCTGTGTTACATTCACTCTGATCTCCATACTTATCATCCCAACCAACTCAGTGTTACATTCACTCCATCCTCCATACTTATCATCCCAACCAACTCAGTGTTACATTCACTCTGATCTCCATACTTATCATCCCAACCAACTCTGTGTTACATTCACTCAGATCTCCATACTTATCATCCCAACCAACTCAGTGTTACATTCACTCCATCCTCCATACATATCATCCCAACCAACTCAGTGTTACATTCACTCCATCCTCTATACTTATCATCCCAACCAACTCTGTGTTACATTCACTCTGATCTCCATACTTATCATCCCAACCAACTCAGTGTTACATTCACTCCATTCTCCATACTTATCATCCCAACCAACTCAGTGTTACATTCACTCTGATCTCCATACTTATCATCCCAACCAACTCTGTGTTACATTCACTCAGATCTCCATACTTATCATCCCAACCAACTCAGTGTTACATTCACTCCATCCTCCATACTTATCATCCCAACCAACTCAGTGTTACATTCACTCTGATCTCCATACTTATCATCCCAACCAACTCTGTGTTACATTCACTCAGATCTCCATACTTATCATCCCAACCAACTCAGTGTTACATTCACTCCATCCTCCATACTTATCATCCCAACCAACTCAGTGTTACATTCACTCCGATCTCCATACTTATCATCCCAACCAACTCAGTGTTACATTCACTCCATCCTCCATACATATCATCCCAACCAACTCAGTGTTACATTCACTCCATCCTCTATACTTATCATCCCAACCAACTCTGTGTTACATTCACTCTGATCTCCATACTTATCATCCCAACCAACTCAGTGTTACATTCACTCCATTCTCCATACTTATCATCCCAACCAACTCAGTGTTACATTCACTCTGATCTCCATACTTATCATCCCAACCAACTCTGTGTTACATTCACTCAGATCTCCATACTTATCATCCCAACCAACTCAGTGTTACATTCACTCCATCCTCCATACTTATCATCCCAACCAACTCAGTGTTACATTCACTCTGATCTCCATACTTATCATCCCAACCAACTCTGTGTTACATTCACTCAGATCTCCATACTTATCATCCCAACCAACTCAGTGTTACATTCACTCCATCCTCCATACTTATCATCCCAACCAACTCAGTGTTACATTCACTCTGATCTCCATACTTATCATCCCAACCAACTCTGTGTTACATTCACTCCGATCTCCATACTTATCATCCCAACCAACTCAGTGTTACATTCACTCCATCCTCCATACTTATCATCCCAACCAACTCAGTGTTACATTCACTCTGATCTCCATACTTATCATCCCAACCAACTCAGTGTTACATTCACTCCATCCTCTATACTTATCATCCCAACCAACTCAGTGTTACATTCACTCTGATCTCCATACTTATCATCCCAACCAACTCAGTGTTACATTCACTCAGATCTCCATACTTATCATCCCAACCAACTCAGTGTTACATTCACTCCATCCTCCATACTTATCATCCCAACCAACTCAGTGTTACATTCACTCTGATCTCCATACTTATCATCCCAACCAACTCAGTGTTACATTCACTCCATCCTCTATACTTATCATCCCAACCAACTCAGTGTTACATTCACTCTGATCTCCATACTTATCATCCCAACCAACTCAGTGTTACATTCACTCTGATCTCCATACTTATCGTCCCAACCAACTCAGTGTTACATTCACTCCATCCTCTATACTTATCATCCCAACCAACTCAGTGTTACATTCACTCTGATCTCCATACTTATCATCCCAACCAACTCTGTGTTACACAACATTCTGCTGTTTGTTGCTGATTGGTCATTCCTGATGATTAACATGTTATCTGTTACAGAGCACTCTTGACATAGTGGAAAAGGCCTATGATTACATACAGGAACTAAATGTTACGACGAGCAGACTTCTGGCAGAAAACAGTGATAATGGTACGATTTAAATGTATTAATTTCTGTACCATACATACTGTATTCTGTTTATATTTTGCTGATTTCTGATTTCCTCCTATCTATATCATACCAAATTTATGTAACCGTGGGGATTTAATTTCGTGGATTTTTATTATCCACGAAACAAACGAAATTTAATGTCCCACAAAAGTTTATGATTTTACAGTATATAAGTACACATTATAAAGTACGCATTGTAAATTACACACTGTCAAATACACATTGTAAAGTATACATTGTAAAGTACACATTATTAAGTACACACTGTAAAGTACATACTGTAAAGTATACATTGTAAAGTACACACTGTAAAGTACACATTGTAATGTAAACATTGTAAAGTATACACTGTAAATAAAGTACATACTATAAAGTATACACTGTAAAGTATACATTGTAAAGTATACATTGTAAAATATACACTGTAAAGAAGACAATGTAAAGTATACATTGTAAAGTATGTAAAGTATACATTGTAAAGTACACACTATTAAGAACACAATGTAAAATACACATTGTAAAGTACACATTGTAAAGTACACATTGTAAAGTAAACATTGTAAAGTATACATTGTAAAGTATACACTGTAAAGTACACATTGTAAAGTAAACATTGTAAAATACACATTGTTAAGTATACATTGTAAAGTAACACATTAAAAAATACACAGTGTAAAGTATACACTGTAAAGTAAACATTGTAAAGTACACACTTTAAAGTACATGCTGTAAAGTACACATTGTAAAGTACACATTTTAAAGTACACATTGTAAAGTATACACTGTAAATAAAGTACATACTATAAAGTATACATTGTAAAGTACACATTGTAAAGTACACATTGTAAAGTATACATTGTAAAGTATACATTGTAAAATATACACTGTAAAGAAGACAATGTAAAGTATACATTGTAAAGTATGTAAAGTATACATTGTAAAGTACACACTATTAAGTACACAATGTAAAATACACATTGTAAAGTACACATTGTAAAGTACACATTGTAAAGTACACATTGTAAAGTACACATTGTAAAGTACACATTGTAAAGTACACACTGTAAAGTAAACACTGTAAAGTATACACTATAAAGTACACATTGTAAAGTACACATTGTAAAGTACACATTGTAAAGTACACATTGTAAAGTATACATTGTAAAATATACACTGTAAAGAAGACAATGTAAAGTATACATTGTAAAGTATGTAAAGTATACATTGTAAAGTACACACTATTAAGTACACAATGTAAAATACACATTGTAAAGTATACATTGTAAAGTAAACATTGTAAAATACACATTGTTAAGTATACATTGTAAAGTACACATTGTAAAATACACATTGTAAAGTACACATTGTAAAGTACACATTGTAAAGTACACATTGTAAAGTACACATTGTAAAGTACACATTGTAAAGTACACATTGTAAAGTACACATTGTAAAGTACACATTGTAAAGTACACATTGTAAAGTACACATTGTAAAGTACACATTGTAAAGTACACATTGTAAAGTACACATTGTAAAGTACACATTGTAAAGTACACATTGTAAAGTACACATTGTAAAGTACACATTGTAAAGTACACATTGTAAAGTACACATTGTAAAGTACACATTGTAAAGTACACATTGTAAAGTACACATTGTAAAGTACACATTGTAAAGTACACATTGTAAAGTACACATTGTAAAGTACACATTGTAAAGTACACATTGTAAAGTATACATTGTAAAATATACACTGTAAAGAAGACAATGTAAAGTATACATTGTAAAGTATGTAAAGTATACATTGTAAAGTACACACTATTAAGTACACAATGTAAAATACACATTGTAAAGTATACATTGTAAAGTAAACATTGTAAAATACACATTGTTAAGTATACATTGTAAAATACACATTGTAAAGTATACATTGTAAAGTAAACATTGTAAAATACACATTGTTAAGTATACATTGTAAAGTACACATTGTAAAGTACACATTGTAAAGTACACATTGTAAAGTACACATTGTAAAGTACACATTGTAAAGTACACATTGTAAAGTACACATTGTAAAGTACACATTGTAAAGTACACATTGTAAAGTACACATTGTAAAGTACACATTGTAAAGTACACATTGTAAAGTACACATTGTAAAGTACACATTGTAAAGTACACATTGTAAAGTACACATTGTAAAGTACACATTGTAAAGTACACATTGTAAAGTACACATTGTAAAGTACACATTGTAAAGTACACATTGTAAAGTACACATTGTAAAGTACACATTGTAAAGTACACATTGTAAAGTACACATTGTAAAGTACACATTGTAAAGTACACATTGTAAAGTACACATTGTAAAGTACACATTGTAAAGTACACATTGTAAAGTACACATTGTAAAGTACACACTGTAAAGTATACACTGTAAAGTATACACTATAAAGTACACATTGTAAAGTACACATTGTAAAGTACACATTGTAAAGTACACATTGTAAAGTACACATTGTAAAGTACACATTGTAAAGTACACATTGTAAAGTACACATTGTAAAGTACACATTGTAAAGTACACATTGTAAAGTACACATTGTAAAGTACACATTGTAAAGTACACATTGTAAAGTACACATTGTAAAGTATACACTGTAAAGTATACACTATAAAGTACACATTGTAAAGTACACATTGTAAAGTACACATTGTAAAGTACACATTGTAAAGTATACATTGTAAAATATACACTGTAAAGAAGACAATGTAAAGTATACATTGTAAAGTATGTAAAGTATACATTGTAAAGTACACACTATTAAGTACACAATGTAAAATACACATTGTAAAGTATACATTGTAAAGTAAACATTGTAAAATACACATTGTTAAGTATACATTGTAAAGTAAACATTGTAAAATACACATTGTTAAGTATACATTGTAAAGTAACACATTAAAAAATACACAGTGTAAAGTATACACTGTAAAGTAAACATTGTAAAGTACACGTTGTAAAGTACATACCGGAAAGTATACATTGTAAAGTAAACACTGTAAAGTACACATTATAAAGGACACATTGTAAAGTACACATTGCAAAATACACATTGTAAAGTATACACTGTAAAATATACATTGTAAAGTTCACATTGTAAAGTACACATTGTTAAGTCCACATTGTAAAGAACACACTGTAAAGTATGCACAGTGAAATACACATTGTAAAGTACACATTATTAAGTACAACTGTAAAGTATACATTGTAAAGTACACATTGTAAAGTACACATTATTAAGTACAACTGTAAAGTATACATTGTAAAGTAAAGTACATACTATAAAGTATATGCTGTAAAGTATACATTGTAAAGTATACACTGTAAATTACACATTGTAAAGTACAACTGTAAAGTATACATTGTAAAGTACAACTCTAAAGTACACACTGTAAAGTACACAATGTAAAGTATACACTGTAGATTATATATTGTTAAGAATACACTGTAAAGTAGTGTTGTTCCGATTAATCGATTGAGTCGACGTCTGGTTGTTTGTTTCTGAAAATCAATTAATAGATCCTCGTTTTCCATGATCAATCATAGTTTGACTAATTTAAGTATTAGCAAAAAATAAACTCGGATACTGTTATTACCGCCGACAGCGAGTTGTTCGTTCTTGGGTAAAACAACTTGACCGAACATATCGCAGAGACCACACTGATTGGCTAGCTGGTCCACCCGACAACCAATCAGAACTTGCGTTTCAAAAGAAATGCTACATGGCTCAGTCAGTGCGTGACAATATGGCAAACCAAGACATTCTGGAGATTAAACTCTATGATCATCCGGGGGCTACTGATTCAAACGGTTGGAAGGTATTGTTTGTCCTTAGCTGGATATAAATAAAATGCTTTGTCGAAAGTGTGGGCTATCTTACAAGTAAAATTTTAGTTTGACCGGGTGTCATCAGGTGAATGCCAATCTATCGTGGCTTTCTGAATAGGAGATGTAGCTGTCACAGTATAATTGACATTGCAAACATCATCAATTTCATTTCCAAATACATATTTTTCAATAATTATAAGGTTCTGTCAACAAACTTATTGTTTTTTGTATGAATGTTGTGTGTTATAAGCGAAATTCTCTAACGTCAGGGTTCCCCCGTTAATGAAAGTGAAAGTAGATTTTGAAAAGCAAAAAATAACCTTAAATTATTGAAATTAAGTTCAATTTGACCGATCATTAGTCGATCATCAGTCACTTGATTGGAAGTGATGTTCAAGTATGAATTTACAAGCGATTCCCAACACTACTGTAAAGTATACATTGTATACTTGACATTGTAAAGTACATACTACTAAGGATACATTGTATACTTGACATTGTAAAGTACATAGTACTAAGTATACATTGTATACTTGATATTGTAAAGTACATACTACTAAGTATACATTGTATCCTTGACATTGTAAAGTACATATTATTAAGTATACATTGTATACTTGATATTGTAAAGTACATACTACTAAGTATCCATTGTATACTTGACATTGTAAAGTACATACTACTAAGTATACATTTTAAGGTATATTAAACGTTGTAATGTAAATATTGGAAAGTACACATTTTTAAGAATATACTTTAAAGTATATATACATTATAAGGTACCCATTGTACAAAAACCATTGTAAAATATATATTGTGATAAAAACACTCACTGCAAAGTACACATTACCAACAGCAAAGTATGCATATGACATAAGTAGGTCTTTATCAATTATTATCATATTTTCTCCTGTATCACTCGAGCTCTATCTCAACAGATAAATAATCAAACTAACATCTCAGTAGAAATGAGACAATTTTCAGATTATCATATTTTCATGTTTACAGCAATAATAGAGAAATACAATTTGAGAGTCAAACTGAGGGTATCTACCAAGTGTTTCTCAGTGTTACATACAGTTTTCACCCTTCAATCATCATTACTATCAATGGTATGATGGAATTGTAATTGAATGTTTCAGTAGAAGAAGTCGGAAAAGTGAAGTCGGAGTTAGCTGCTGTTAAAAGGGACAGAGACAGATATGCTGAACAATTGCGACAAGCAGGTAAGAAAAGGCTCACAGTTATGACGTGGAGGTAAGAAAAAAGGCTCACAGTTATGACGTGGAGATAAGAAAAAAGGCTCATAGTTATGACGTGGAGGTAAGAAAATAGGCTCACAGTTATGACGTGGAGGTAAGAAAATAGGCTCACAGTTACGACGTGGAGGGAAGAAAAAAGGCTCACAGTTATGACGTGGAGGTAAGAAAATAAGCTCACACTTATGTCGTGGAAGCAAGAAAATAGGCCCACAGTTATGACGTGGAGATAAGAAAAAAGGCTCACAGTTATGACGTGGAGGTTAGAAAATAGGCTCACAGTTATGACGTGGAGGTTAGAAAATAGGCTCACAGTTATGACGTGGAGGTTAGAAAATAGGCTCACAGTTATGACGTGGAGGTTAGAAAATAGGCTCACAGTTATGACGTGGAGGAAAGAAAATAGGCTCACAGTTATGACGTGGAGGTAAGAAAATAAACTCACACTTATGACGTGGAAACAAGAAAATAGGCCCACAGTTATGACGCGGAGGTAAGAAAATAGGCTCACAGTTATGACGTGGAGGTAAGAAAATAAACTCACACTTATGACGTGGAAGCAAGAAAATAGGCTCACAGTTATGACGTGGAGGTAAGAAAATAGGCTCACAGTTATGACATGGAGGTAAGAAAATAGACTCACAGTTATGACATGGAGGTAAGAAAATAGGCTCACAGTTATGACGTGGAGGTAAGAAAATAGGCTCACAGTTATGACGTGGAGGATAGAAAATATAGGCCCACAGTTATGACGTGGAGGTAAGAAAATAGGCTCACAGTTATGACGTGGAGGTAAGAAAAAAGGCTCACAGTTATGACATGGAGGTAAGAAAATAGGCCCACAGTTATGACGTGTAGGTAAGAAAATAGGCTCACAGTTATGAAGTGGAGGTAAGAAAATAAATATCACACATGATACTTGGAGGAAATGTGTTAGTTACCTTAGGCCTGGACAGGTGAAGCCACACATTTCCTGGTATAAGATATATTTGTTTCACCTTATGGCTGAGACAAAGTGATACTTAAGACGTCATTTAAACATTATATAGCAAGCCTTATGTTTAGCAAATTAAGAATATTCTCTCTGGGGTTGAGATTAACCTATCTCACCCTCAAAGGAGTGAATGTTTCTAACGACACCACAAATAGGGTTCTAAAAGTTGATAGCCTGATAGACTAGCCAAACTTTGATGTTACTTATCATGTTGATAGCCTGATAGACTAGCCAAACTTAGATGTTACTTATCATGTTGATAGCCTGATAGACTAGCCAAACTTTGATTTTACTATCATGTTGATAGCCTGATAGACTAGCCAGCCTGATAGACTAGCCAGCCTGATTGACTAGCCAAACTTAGATATTACTTATCATGTTGAATGGTTAGTGGAATTTGCACATGGACTAGTGGGGGATGGGTGGGGGGTTAGACTATAGATTTGTAGTGTTTTTTTGGTAAACAATAGTATTTGGAGAGATATAGAAGAATAATACCACATAAAAAGGATCCCAGCATCCAATATGGTGACTTTTCAGGGCCAGGGTTAGTAGCCTACCTGATATACAGATCCAATAAAACAAGAGTGCCTCGTGGCGTCTGATAGCAGGGTTCTGTTTAACTTGTTCTGTTGGTTTGATTTTGTTCATACTCGACAGTAACTGATATTTGTCAGATTTTCAAGCACACAGCGGGATCCTCACGGCTGAACTGTCAGTATTCTAGTTTTCATCCAAAACTGTCCCAATAAAAAAACCTCTTATGTAGGAATTGTAGCTGACTGAATTGTATGTATGTATTAATGTAATCTCCTCACTTGTTTTCTTTCTACTTTCAGGTGGAGCCTTTGTTGAAACACCTGGTCAGTGGGGACAGAAACTGGGCCCTCCTGACCCATCTGACCACTCCACTGGAGCAGAGGCACCACTCAATGGATTAGGGGGACAAGGGGCAGGGGCTGAACCCTCTTCTCCTACACCACTATTGGAGAATGCTGACAACAAACCAAAAGGCAACAAGAAAAAACGCAATACCATCAGCTTGCAATTGGAAATAAAAAAACAACAACAACAACAACAGACTCAGCCAATGGAGTTGTCTACCCAAGCGATGGCTGGTAATTATGGAAATGTTGCCATGAACAATATGATGATGAATCAGATGATGTTTAGCAACAGTCAAATGATGATGCAGCAACATATGATGGGAGTTGGGGGTCAAATGCCAGCTGGGAGTCAAGGTCAAAATGTAGAGTCCAGTGCTGCAGAGCTGGCTGGAGCTGGTCTCATACAGCTGGCCATGCAGGATGCTGGAATCACCCCCAGCACCAGTGTCTCATCTGATGAGAATGTTACTTCGACAGCAACACAAGCAAATTCAGATCCGATGGCCTCTGCAAGTGATAACTCCGCTCTTGAGACCCTTGCCTCTATAGCAACAGTTCCTCAGACAGCAGGAGTTGTGGGTTCCTCTGCACCAGTAAGTCAGGCTGCCGTTTCGCCACTTGTGTCCCAGAGTGGATCGGCCATGACAGCTACGACACAGGCTATTAATGCCAACATGCCTATCATGGCCACTGGTCAAAGTGGCATAGGACAGATTCAACCAAACAATAATATGATGAATGTTCCATTTGTGAATGGTGGCCAACAACAGTTCCCACCGGGCATTCTACAGGGGCAGCAGGGTGGCTTCAACCCAGGCATCCCGACCCCGCAACAGCAGATAATGTTCATCAATGAGCAGGGTGTACCCTGTATTGCTAATGTGCCTCTGGGTATTGACCCTAACTCTCTGGGCATTCCAAACTTCCAGAAGCAAATGGTCGGGATGGACAAGTCGGGGAACATTGGACTCCAAGGATTTGGAAACGTCATGGTTCAAAAAGATCAGGGGATGACCGCTGATCAAACACTTATTACAAATATGAATCTCCAAGGTCAGCAGACCTTCCAGCAAACCCAGGGTGCAGTTGCCATGGGAACACCTGGTATGGTCCAGCCTCCAATGCCTCTCGGTCAGCAGGTGATGCAGCCAATGCATCAGCTGGCTGGTGGACTCGGTAACCAAGGGCAACAGGGTCTCATTATGCCTGTTAGTCAGAGTGGCAACTTGTTGATTAACTCAACCAATCAGAACCAAGGCCCGCCAGGTAACCAGCTCCCACAGGCTTTACTGCTTCCAAACGGGCAGATAATCCCGGTAGTAGCCAATCCCCAAACAGGAGTTAACAGTGGCAGCGGAGTCATTCCAGCAAACACCCAATGGCAGGGTGGGGGCCTGCAGGGAGGTGGCATTCAGCAACCAGGCGCACCCCAGGGGAACCTTGCAGCCTCAGGTGCCCCACCCAGAATGTCCCTCCCCCCAGGTATTCAGGGCAGTATGATGGCTACTGGAATGGATGGAACCATCATATCAGGGGGACCCAACCCAGGCAATATGGCGTCCAGTGCTGGTCAGATACAGGTGAGTGCTTGTTTCAGCTGGTGTTGCTGTCATGTAAAAAATGTATACTTCAGTCGTATTTATGTTTCAAAATTATCATTTCTGTAAAAGTTTATTGTGCTGCTAGAACACAATTTTTGAAATTATGAAGAAAATAAAACCTCTTTAAATCAGAAATTGTCTTCAGGACTAGATATCCTGCCAAACTATAACTTTGGCTAGCCTGGCATAAAGTGCCTGAGAGCTTATGTCAGGGAAAAGTGTTTTGTTAGTCATCTGTCATGAATACACCATGATTATTATGCTCTGTCATGTAGTGTGTAATGGATAGGATACTCTTGTCTGTATAGTAGGAGTAGCTTTCTGTTTTGGTCAGGTTATATAATTATATAGATGTGCGATCGCCGTCTTCTCTACTTAAATGTTTACTTGGTCAGGTTATATAATTATATAGATGTGGGGTCGCCAACTTCTCAACATAAATGTTAATTTATCATAGATAGGATCGCCATCTACTTAACTTAAATGTTAATTTACCATAGATGGGATCGCCATCTTCTCAACTTAAACTTTAATTTATCATAGATTAAGGATCGCCATCTACTTAACTTAAATGTGAATTTATCATAGATAGGATCGCCATCTACTATACTTAAATGTTAATTTATCATAGATGGGATCGCCATCTACTTAACTTAAAATTGAATTTATCATAGATAGGATCACCATCTACTCAATTTCAATTTTAATTTATCATAGATGGGATCGCCATCTTTTCAACTTAAACGTTAATTTATCATAGATAGGATCGCCATCTACTCAATTTCAATGTTAATTTATCATAGATATGATCGCCATCTACTTAACTTAAATGTTAATTTATCATAGATAGGATCGCCATCTACTTAACTTAAATGTTAATTTATCATAGATAGCATCGCCATCTACTCAACTTAAATGTTAATTTATCATAAATAGGATCGCCATCTACTTAACTTAAATGTTAATTTATCATAGATGGGATCGCCATCTACTTAACTTAAATTTGAATTTATCATAGATAGGATCACCATCTACTCAACTTAAATGTTAATTTATCATAGATAGGATCGCCATCTACTCAACTTAAATGTTAATTTATCATAGATAGGATCGCCAGCTACTATACTTACATTTTGTAAATGTTAATTTATCATAGATGGGATCGCCATCTACTTAACTTAAGTTTGAATTTATCATAGATAGGATCGCCATCTACTCAACTTAAATGTTAATTTATCATAGATGGGATCACAATCTACTCAACTTAAATGTTAATTTATCATAGATGGGATGGCCATCTACTCAACTTAAATGTTAATTTATTATAGATAGGATCGCCATCTACTCAATTTCAATGTGGATTTATCATAGATAGGATCGCCATCTTTTCAACTTAAACGTTAATTTATCATAGATGGGATCGCCATCTACTCAACTTAAATGTCAATTTATCATAGATATGATCGTCATCTACTCAACTTAAATGTTAATTTATCATAGATGGGATCGCCATCTACTCAACTTAAATTTTAATTTACCATAGATGGGATCGCCATCTACTTAACTTAAATGTTAATTTATCATAGATAGGATCGCCATCTACTCAATTTCAATGTGGATTTATCATAGATAGGATCGCCATCTTTTCAACTTAAACGTTAATTTATCATAGATGGGATCGCCATCTACTTAACTTTAATGTTAATTTATCATAGATAGGATCGCCATCTACTCAACATAAATTTTAATTTCCCATAGATGGGATCGCCATCTACTTAACTTAAATGTTAATTTATCATAGATAGGATCGCCATCTACTTATACATAAATGTTAATTTATCATAGATAGTATCGCCATCTACTCAACATAAATGGTAATTTATCATAGATAGGATCGCCAGCTACTATACTTACATTTTGTAAATGTTAATTTATCATAGATGGGATTGAGATCTACTTAACTTAAATGTTAATTTACCATAGATGGGATCGCCATCTACTTGACTTAAATGTTAATTTATCATAGATAGGATCGCCATCTACTTATACATAAATGTTAATTTATCATAGATAGTATCGCCATCTACTCAACATAAATGTTAATCTATCATAGATAGGATCGCCATCTACCCATCATAAATGTTAATTTATCATAGATAGTATCGCCATCTACTCAACATAAATGTTAATCTATCATAGATAGGATCGCCATCTACTCAACATAAATCTTAATTTCCCATAGATGGGATCGCCATCTACTTGACTTAAATGTTAATTTATCATAGATAGGATCTCCATCTTCTTAACTTAAATGTTAATTTATCATAGATAGGATCCCCATCTACTCAACATAAATGTTAATCTATCATAGATAGGATCGCCATCTACCCATCATAAATGTTAATTTATCATAGATAGGATCGCCATCTACTCAACTTAATGTATTGTGGCAGATACACTTTTTGCACTACACTCCTTCTGTATTGCCATTTATTAGGATGCACTCTAGGTGTGTAATTTGACCTAGAGATTGCTACCATAGTGTTAAGCTAGCAGAAGCATTTTAACTTCTCTAGTTGTTGTAATGGAGGAACAGGTGAGCAATACTGGCCAATACGGGTGTGTTAGGACCGCTCAGTCTAAAACATAGTAAAATTAGATATAGTTTGTACAATTCTGTTTCAGATTCATTGAGTAATTACATAAAAGTAGGTTCTCAAGAGAGGTCAGGAAAGACCTGTGCCAGTAAAGTGGTTAGTGAACTTGTCTGTTTTGTACATTGCAGGTTGGACAGCCACAGGTGGCGTTCTCCCAACACTCCTCTAATATGGGCCTTCTGATGACCACTGCCTCCAACCTTCCCGGTACCAATGCTGTGGCCAACTCCTCCGTGTCGCAGCCTCTCTCCGAGACTGGCCAGACAGGCAATGTGATAGACTCAGTAGCAACTAACAAGGGGAAAACCTTATCTGTAACAGCAGGTGGAACTGGCCAACAGAGTGGGCTGATTGACACCAAACAGAGTCAAAACATGTTACGATTCCCGGACTCAGACCTGTCAGATCAGGCAAGAGGATCGCAGATCATAATGAAATCAACAGGGCAAGCAGGTGTTTTCCCGTCAGTTTCAGGATCTGATAGCATGACTATGCCTGCAACTTCTGGACCACCAGGAAACTCCGGGATGCCTATGGGGATGCCAGCACCCCCTAGTGGTGGAATGGGAGCAGGTGCTAATGGGCCGATACTACTAACCATGAATCTTAATGGTCAGCCAACCAGTGTTCTGGTCGACCCAACCACAATGCAGGTTTTAGGAACAGTCCAGAATCCTCAGCAATCTGTACAACAGGCCCCGCCACAGGTTGCTGGTCAACAAGTACAGGTTGCAGGTCAACAAGTCACAAGTCAACAGGTCACAAGTCAACAGGTCACAGGTCAACAGGTCACAGGTCAACAGGTCACAGGTCAACAGGTCACAGGTCAGTCAATGCAGGTCACACCCCCTGGTAATACTGCAGCAAGTAAAAAAAGCAAGAAAAATTCACAGCGTGCTATCTGTCCCAAACCATCTGCCAGGAACAAATCTGGGCGGAACACAGAACTGTTTGGAAATGAAGATGAGGACCAAACAGATTTGCCTACACAACCTGCCCCAACAACAAAAAAATCAAAGTCAAAGAAAAGCAAGGCTTCAAAAGCAGCCACAGTAGTAGCTGCATCAGCTGCTGCTGAGAGTGCCACACAGGATGAATCTGCCACAGACACGACTGATATTTTAGCAAAAGCTGCTGAATCCATCTTTTCCTCTGATATCTCTCCCCCTATTGGTGGGTTTTATAACCCAGCCAATGAAGACAACCCACTGCAGATAGACACCAGTGCTGGGGAGACAGAGGAGGATCCAGAAGGGGGAAGGACACCCAGGAAGGAGCCTGATGTCGGTACAGGGCCGCCTGACTCTGTACGTGAAATACAACAAGTGAAGGAACTACATATTGGAGGTGATGGGTCAGATATTCTTGGAACTGGTCAGACTTTGTCACATCAAGAGGTCAGTGATGTGTTGGGCGTAGATATAATGATGACCAGTAGGGGCCCAGGTGACATCCTGTCTAACATGTCTACGGCCACGTCGATCCACAGCGACCTCGGTAATCTGGGGACAGATAAGCCATCTGTTGATATAGACAACAGCAGTGGAGTGTTTTCTCCACCATCTATTATTGATCCACCCAAAAAGTCCAATAAGAAATCAAAGAAAGCAGAAAAAGAAAAATGTAATACGCCAGAGAAAACCAAGGTCAAGGCTACTGAAGACGAGATTCAGAATACAGTGAAAGAAATTATGAACTCTGTGAAAAATAACACTCCTCCACCACCAGCAAAAAAGTCAGGCAAAAAATTGTCGAAGAAAGCGCCTTCCATTGAAAAGCCAATGACAACGCCAACCAATAGAATGGAACCCGTGGAGGCCGCCGAACCTGTCATGGCTTTTCCTGATACTATCATATTTTCTGAGAAGGAATTGTCGGATGTGTTAGACCAAGTGGAGAACCTTGGTTCATCCCTGAGCGACAGTTCACAAACAGTGACTCCTCCAAAAAAGATTAAATCAAAGAAAAACAAGGGAGATAATTTGATTAGTGATAGTGAGCCAGCAAGTAAGAAACAGAAAAAGGGATCAGCACGGGATAAAAGTAAATCGTCTGCTCCCACTGAAAATGTGGGTAGTAAGTCCTCAATGTCTGTGTATGATTTTGAGGAGGACGGACAGGAGGAATTCTCATCACCACTACGATCACTACAGACAAAACGTAATTCTTCCTCCATCAACAATGCACCTGTCTCAAATGATCAGTTTATTAAAAGTGCTACTTCTGCTCCAATAGGTGTGTCCAGTGTGTCTCCGATGCGAGTTGGAGAACATTTACCATTCTCATCGCGGGTTTGTTCTAGCGAAGGACGTTTGTTTTCCTCTCCGAATCAATTAAATTTTTCATCATCACCTCGAGATACATCACCAGGATTCGCAGATGATTCAATGACAGAAAGACCTCTTTTTGATACTCAACTGCCTCTTCCCGCCAAGGAGAAAAAGTCTAAGAAACGCTCAAAGTCCAAAAAGACAAATAAAACTCCGTCACCTGCTGCTACAGTGAGAAATTTACCTGAAAATGATATTTTATTAGAATCTCAAAAACTGTCAACAGTGCCAGAAAAAACAATTAGTAGTGTTGAGAGTTTGGTTGATGTGAGCCGATTTGAGCGTACAGACTTTGATGAATTTGAACCAAGCTCTAAAAAGAAGGAGGATGATATTGAAAAGATGGATATTGATTTATTAGAGAAAAGTCCTGAGCATTCAACGCCAAAGAAAGATCCAAGTGAGTGTTTGGGTCTCAGAACTAGTACTAATGACGGTGGCCTATTATCATGTGTTCAGAACAGTGTTATTATGGATGAGCACCTAGCATCCAGCGTGCCACACCGAGATCTGGATTCATCTCACCGAGATCCCTCTCCTCCAAACTCTGTGGCACTGACAGACCCCGTCCATATCTCCACTCACTCTCTGGCCTCCTCAGAGAATTCAGACATTGACAACACCATGAACAGCATACTTGGTCTCTCTGCAGCCGCTGCACTGTCTCCACACATTATATCACCAGGGCAACAACAGCCTGTAGTGCATCACGTGCGGGTTAGCTCACCACAACTTCAGACACCTAAATCTACGTCGCCTGTGTCAATGACATCACCACAGCAACAATCATTGCAGCATTCTGTGCTTATGTCTGTGGCTAGTGCTGATCCACTCGTGTCTCGTGCCTCCTCAGTTACCTCATGCTCATCCATGACAAATTTTTCATCTCCCGGTGATTTACCGTACTCGGCAGAGACTCTTTTCAATCCTTCATCTGATAAGGCTACACTTTCATCGACCAACAAACCAACATCTCTGGCTATTTCCAGGCAAGACAGTGACAAATCAAATCATGGCCTCTTTGAAAAATCTCAGATGGGATCGAAAGCACGAAATGGCATTTATTCAGCTGATAATTTTGTACAAACCAACAAAGATGAAGGGTTACGGACTGATAAATCAACCAATCAGGTTAATGTGATAAGTCCTCCTCTATCCAGCTCATTAAGTCGTATTGGTAACGAAAATAGTTCTGATGTTTTTAATTTTGCTACAATAGGTCTTAATATTGCAACACCTACAACATCAACAACTTCAATAATGGACAGTCTGAACATGTCTCCCATCATCTCCACCATCGCCAATACGTCGGTCACGTCATCTTCTTTCACCTTCACACTGTCATCTGTCACATCAACATCAACAACTTCCAGTGCTGGAATGACGTCGCACGACAATCACCAAAGTGTTCATCCATATCCTTTTTATTCACCTCAGTCCCATCATCATCTGCCATCGTCATCTTCATCCTCCAACATGCAAAATGTGTCGAACCTCCTGAGTAATTCAAACAACCAACAACAGGAACAGCAACAACAACAACAACAGCCATCATTGACCATGCCAAACTTTGATCTTGATCTTGGAACTAGTGTCACCTCTCATCTTGGGCATCAACAGAAACGTTCATCAAATGACACCGTGGCACAATCTCATATTCAGAGCAGTCAGTCGCAACTGTTCTATGGTATGGCAAGTGGTAATCGGGCCAGTTGTTCAGTTCAGAACCAGCAGAGGGAACCACAGGAACAACCGCCGATGATTCCGAACATTACGGTCAGTTCTCACAATCCCATCAGCAAGTCACAGTCAGATCAGATTCATAATACTCATAAGCGCATGCAGGAGTTAGGCCAGGGGCCAGTGCGTAGCGGCCCCCCTCCAGCAAAGGCTAGTAACACTGACCATCGCGGCAGTGACCTTGGGGCAATGGAGCGACAGTTCAGTATTAAACCATCCAATTCAGACCCCCGGGGTAGTGATCTAAATGCCATGGAGAGGCAGTTTAATCTCAAGTCCTCAGCACAGGACCCTAGAACAAACGACCTCAGTACAATGGATAGACAATTCAATATTAAATCCACAAATCCAGATCCTCGAGGAAATGATCTAAGTGCAATGGATAGACAATTTAACATCAAATCCTCAAATACAGATCCTCGAGGAAATGAACTCGCTAATATGGAAAGGCAACAGTTTAGTATGAACAATGTTCAGGCGTTTTTCCCTCCTCCAAACTTCTCTAATGCTGGTTCCCAGTCGATGAACACACATCCGTTGCGACATCCACCCCTGAACTCTATGGAGGAGAGGTCAGGTTTGCCTGGTGCCCGAGCCTATGAGCCCATATTTTCACCCCATACACAAGGATTCAATCCAGCATCACAAGGTTTTGGTGGCAGTCGATATGATTCTAATGTAATGTTTCCCCATCAGCGCGAAAGCTCTGGTGTTGTAGGAAACCAACCGCTCAGTCACACGCCGCCAATTCAAACAGACGGTCGCAAGTCAGCAAATTCACAGAGCTCAAGTGCCAAATCAAACAAACAAAACAGCAGTCAACAGTCACAACACCCAGTGGCTCAGCAACAACAACAACAGCAACAACAGCAGCAGCAGCAACAACAACAACAGCCGAGATCAATGAGCGGTCCTCCCCCTCATACCGTTCCTACCCCTCCACATCATCCTCCCACTCACCGGCCCACGCCCCCTCAGGCTGGCTCTCAACCTCCCCAACCCCATCAGTCACAAGTGTCTCATTCGCGGCAGCAAAAATCATCGAGTGCTTCACGTTCAAAACAGTCACAGAAAAAGAGCAAACAACAGCAGCAGTTGTATAGTGAAATGGAAACTTCTTTCCCCCATGCTATGTTTGAGGCAAATAGAAGTCTTACACCATTTTTTGGACTTGCTCCTCAAAATCTGTCGCCACCTGCACGGAACATGCAGAATGAAGGACCAGGGCTGTTTGCTGCAAATCTTTTTGGAGCTGGGCCAAGGCATACTGCTACTGCCTCCATGCCTAAAAATGCGGAAATAAGTGCCCCCTATAATCCTTTGTTCCCACCTGGGCGCCCCCAGAATGGTCTTGGTTTGAACTTTCAGCCTGGATTTGGTATGAACACTGTTCACGGAGGGATGTCGAATGCACCATCAATTACACCGCACTCTGGTAGTGTGACCGTAACCCCTCACATGTCAAACTTTAGTCTAACAAATATATTCTCTGATGTGAACAATTCTTCACAGAATGACTTAAATATTTCACCCATCAAGTTTCCTCATTCAAATTCAATAATGCCACACCAAGGAATGGACCCGAACGCCCTGCAGCATCCTCATCACCAGGGCGGGTCTATATACCACCCTCACAACCGATCACATCCGCCTCCACCCGTGCTGCACAACGCTATGAGTATAAACAGTATCTTGGGGCAGCACCATCACAGCTTTGATTCCCGAGGGGTGCCCCAGGGCATGAACGCCTCAGCTCCTCCCTTCCATGGACCCGGTCATCCGCCATCATTTGCTATGCCGCCTTTAAACTTCTCTATGCATGACCCTTAAAAGATAAATTTTCTTTATATTTAAGACCCATTTTAATGAAAGAACAAATATTGCTTGTTAATCTGGACAGTTTGGGTCTAAGATATTAGACTATATCTGTGTAATATTCAGCGTCTGAGATGTGAGATTTACATTGTAATCTGGACAGTTTGGGTCTAAGATATTAGACTATATCTGTGTAATATTCAGTGTCTGAGATGTGAAATTTACATTGTAATCTGGACAGTTTGGTCTAAGATATTAGACTATATCTGTGTAATGTTCAGCGTCTGAGATGCGAGATTTACATTGTAATCTGGACAGATATCTGTGTAAAATTCAGCGTCTGAGATGTGAGATTTACATTGTAATCTGGACAGATATCTGTGTAATATTCAGCGTCTGAGATGCGAGATTTACATTGTAATCTGTACAGATATCTGTGTAAAATTCAGTGTCTGAGATGTGAAATTTACATTGTAATCTGGACAGATATCTGTTTAAAATTCAGTGTCTGAGATGTGAAATTTACATTGTAATCTGGACAGTTTGGGTCTAAGATATGAGACTATATCTGTGTAATATTCAGTGTCTGAGATGTGAAATTTACATTGTAGTCTGGACAGATATCTGTGTAATATTCAGCGTCTGAGATGTGAAATTTACATTGTAATCTGGACAGTTTGGGTCTAAGATATGAGACTATATCTGTGTAATGTTCAGCGGCTGAGATGCGAGATTTACATTGTAATCTGGACAGTTTGGTCTAAGATTACAATGTAAATCTCACATCTCAGACGCTCAATTTTACACAGATATCTGTCCATATTACAATGTAAATCTCACATCTCAGACGCTGAATATTGCACAGATATAGTCTAATATCTTAGACTATATCTGTGTAATATTCAGCGTCTGAGATGTGAAATTTACATTATAATCTGGACAGTTTGGTCTAAGATTACAATGTAAATCTCACATCTCAGACACTCAATTTTACACAGATATCTGCCCAGATTACAATGTAAATCTCACATCTCAGACGCTCAATTTTACACAGATATCTGTCCATATTACAATGTAAATCTCACATCTCAGACACTCAATTTTACACAGATATCTGCCCAGATTACAATGTAAATCTCACATCTCAGACACTGAATTTTAAACAGATATCTGTCCAGATTACAATGTAAATCTCACATCTCGGACGCTGAATTTTACACAGATATCTGTCCATATTACAATGTAAATCTCACATCTCAGACACTGAATTTTAAACAGATATCTGTCCAGATTACAATGTAATATTCAGCGTCTGAGATGTGAGATTTACATTGTAATCTGGACAGTTTGGTCTAAGATTACAATGTAAATCTCACATCCCAGACGCTGAATTTTACACAGATATCTGTCCATATTACAATGTAAATCTCACATCTCGGACGCTGAATTTTACACAGATATCTGTCAAGATTACAATGTAAATCTCGCATCTCAGACGCTGAATATTACACAGATATAGTCTAAGATATTAGACTATATCTGTGCAATATTCAGCGTCTGAGATGTGAAATTTACATTGTAATCTGGACAGATATCTGTGTAAAATTCAGCGTCTGAGATGTGAGATTTACATTGTAATTAAACCATTAATTACTTCTGAATTTATCTTCTCTATTGAACTTCCGATTATTGTATGAGAGGATTTCAATTACTAAACAAACAAAACTGCATGTCCCTTATTCAATGTTACTGAAAAATACCCATGATTTACAAAACAGAAATGTTATACTATGTGATCTAGTGTGTTACTGTCGACCAGTACTGAACTTGAGCTAGCTGACAAATTTTGCCAGTATTTATTGCGATATAAACTGTTGAATCTCCAATTACCTCTTCATCTTTATAATTTTGAATGTTATTAACTTCTAATATTGTTAGCTGGTTATTTACTGCACATAACTTTCCATTATATTTTGTCATACATATAGAATTACTAAAGATTACTTTTGTATGTGATAACAGCTCTGCAGTTTGGACATTTTCATTGAAACCAGTTGTTGTTTAATATACTAAAATATGGATAGAATAATCAACTACTACAAGTTATAGGTGTAAACAGTTGTTGTTTAATATACTAAAATACGGATAAAATAATCAACTACTACAAGTTATAGGTGTAAACAGTTGTCGGCTTCATTCTTTATTTTAAGTTAGGATTTTTCCATAACTTCAGATTTACTTTCCATTTGGAAAAAAGCTAGTTTTAAAACAATGTTATTTTGGTAATAGAAGCCAGAAAACATGGAGATAAAACACTGTCAATACTGAAAAAACAAAAAACAATGTTTTTTCTGTTGCATTCAGTATTATTATATCTCACATTTACTTTGTTGGCAGAAGTCCTTTGATCAACATTTTATCTTTATGCTTTGATTGCCAAATTTCTCTAAATATACATTCAAAATATATGTGTAATGAAATGAGAATGTTGGAGAAGTATTTAACTTTATCCCTGATCAGAAAACAACTGTTTCTCTAAAGATGGCTTAACTCATTCACCTCTGAAGACATATTTGAACTCTTCCAATTAAAAGGTTGGTTTAGTTCATTATGAAATTTCAGGGGTGAATGAGTTAATTGTTAATACACAAATTGCAAGTGTTTAGCTCCTCTGCACAAAGCTTAAGCCATGGCACATCATCCATCCCTTTAAATGACTTCTTCAAATGTACTGAAAGTCATGATATTTGACCAATGGGTCAAATGTGTTAATATTTTTAAATTACTTCTGAATAACCAAAATACACCGGGATATTTGGTTGGTAGCATGATATACTCAATGGCTTTCACTTCTCTTCAAATGAATGGCCTTTCAAGGTCAAATGTGCTAAAAATTGAAAGCAATTCTTCTAAATAGCCAAGAGGCCTAGGGAAATGATATTTTACCAGTAGCATGCTAAGATGAATGGCTACTAATTATTTGAAGGAATGACCTTCTTTTTAGGTTATAGGGTCAAATGGATTAAAATGCTTAAACAAGTTCTTCTCATAACCAAAAGTCACAGGGTGATGATACTAGGGTTTAAAAGTGTGAGATCAACATCAGATGGGTGAAGCAGGCCCATTGGGCCTCTTGCTAGTTAATGTCTTCCATAAACTTGTGCAAGTCTGAATCGCCAAAGTCATTTGTGTATCTGTTTTGATGTGTGTAAAGCTTTGGATACGAATGTAAAATTCACTGCCTCTATTAGATATCCCTGTTTTTTCTTGGCGTCCCATCAGAACAGAGTGATTGATCGGGCACTAACAGTGACGGCATACAGACAGGCATTTCAAAATTGGTTTTTGTGTTTTTCTGAAGTTTCTTTTATTTAACACTGACGATATTTGATTTAGCTAATTTAATCAAACCAGTAACCAATTTATTGAATTTTACTTATTTAAACGCATCAAATGTTCAGTGAATTTACTGCAACGCGCAGTGACATATAGGTATTACATACAAGGTTTCTGTGCAATAACTTGGGTTGATTGAACTCAAACTTGGTACCAATATAGCTCAGACAAGTTCGCATTTCAGAAGTTTACCTGCATTTTTTGGTAGGAGTTATGCCCCTTTTATTGCCAAATAAGGGCATTGTGTATTAAATGCAAGAACTTTCTTACTTTTTAATAAATTCCCTCCAAATCTTGTACGGTAATGTTCAACATGAATTAGGATTTTTTCTGTCTAGTTTCAACTTTCCGTGTTTTGGCGTCTGTTTACGCGATAACTCGAGCCAAAACACTTTTCTTACTAAAAGTGCTGAGCAGATGAAACATCCACTCCTGTGGAATTCTTGTTTTTATTGCATTTACTTGAATAGCAGCTATCATATATGATAACAATTTCAACAATTTAATGTCTGATTGTGTGCTTTTTCAGATATTTAGGCAATATAAACTTGCAGTAAAATCTGTCTTTAACAACATAAATCTTGTCAGAAATTGCAACACCTCTATAAAGTTTGGTATTGATTTAGTGAAGTGAAACAGGTTCAATGTTTGTTTCTTGGCGAAATCAGGATAGACACAATATATGTCATCTAATCTTCTGATTTCTAGTAGGCTTCTTTATATTTATATTTCCTTTTAACTAACAAGTATATACTTTTTTCAGTGTTGACTGTTGAAAATGCCCCATTTTTATTAAGATTTTATTTGTTCGTTATACTTGACTACTACACTGCTATTACAGTGAATGGCCATTGCTGCTGGTGAACGAGTCAGATTTTTATTGTCTTATCACACAAATCACATCGCAAATATTTCGATTTCATTATGATTTTAATATGGACATATTGTACATATAAGGGAGAACTAACAGGCCTTTTGAACCTTTTACAAACCTTTTAAAAATCAAGGTTATGTAAAACAAATTCTTGTGTTTAGATCTAAATCCTATCGGCTAACCAGACAGAAACACGGTCTTATATTGGGTATTGGGTGACATATACATCTGGTTACAAGTAAACGTTCTACTTCCCAGTTCTCCATATCACCTACCACTTACGCATCAAAATCATGGTCACACTTTCAAGGTTACAAAACAATCATAACTCCAGCTAAAGAGTGTTTCAGAAGTACGACAAGGTTGATCAGGTTGATGTGGTCTTGCTGTTATTTTTCTTTATTTTTTTAAACAGATATAAATCAGGTTTTGTGTTTAAAAAGCATTTCACATGAACCTTTTTTTGGTCTAATATTTCAGTCAGAACTAGTTCAGAAACTGAACAAAAAAATTGGCAAAATCAGACGATAATTAAAGAGGATTTTTTTCTGTCTGCAATTGAAAATATAAATCTATAAACAAACACAAGCCAATATGTTACAGGCTTCATCATGTTCCAAAATACTGTTTGTATAAAATCAAAGTTGTATTCATTAAAACATTTGTATAAAACAGCAAGATTCGTGGAGGTGTTGTGGACGCTGGTTTTTGTATAAAACAGCAAGATTCGTGGAGGTGTTGTTGACGCTGGTGTTTGTATTAAACAGCAAGATTCATGGAGGTGTTGTGGACGCCGGTGTTTGTATAAAACAGCAAGATTCATGGAGGTGTTGTGGACGCTGGAGTTGGACATTTTATACCAGATACATACATCATATTGTAGAGTCATTTTAACTTTTTATCTGCATTGATAGAAAGTTGTTAGATTTAATTAAGAGAACAAGTCCTACCTCCACTTACACAGTAAGTCACTTTGTACTGATGTTCTACTCTGATCTTGTGAAATGTTTTCTGAATATGGAATTTGACAATGAATATACATTGACCTATAATCTGATGGTTGTAAATACACAGTGGAGACTGACTTATAATAGTTCCACAGGTCTTGTCATTTACAGGCATCTTTTGGACAAGTCTCCAAAACTGTTAGAAGATTTTTGTTGAGAGAGATTTTT